AAAAATCATTCTACAGGTTATTACTTTTTATTTACAGAAGGGGAAACAAGTGGCAATTGTAACCATTTTTCTCATAACTCATAAACAAATACAATGTCGTATATTGGTATAAAATAAACATGTGACAACAGTAATAATATGACTCAAATATTTACATTGAGAAAAACTAGATCAGAGAGTTTAATTTAATCCAAGAAGAGAGAAAGTTACAATCTGCTCACTTACAATGGTTAGAGGCAACTGAAACACTTACATTAAATAATAATAATAATATTAACCCAATACGTCTCACATATGTACACACCTCAAAAGAATCTAATATATCTAATCTAATCTAGTGATATATTAGATTAGATTAGATACAGTATATTAGATTCTTTTGAGGTGTGTACATATGTGAGACGTATTGGGTTAATATTATTATTATTCATAATACAAAAAATGATGAATCGTTTATTTAAAGATTAATAATGTTCATTAAACAATTTAAATATTAACAACTGCTTTACAACTGCCCTAACATATGTCATCACAAAATAAATAAATAAAATGGCAAAATTATAAAATTTCTCATGGAAGGGAAATTCTATAGAGTCCGTGCTGAATAAATGACACAGTCACATGCCAAACGCTTACATTTCTATTTCAAAGTTCTGTGTTTTTTTGAGAACAGACAGTGCTTTTGTTACATAACCATGGTCAATGTGATTCCTGAGGTCAAAGAGAGATTTATTAGATTACAGCACAACATCAGATGACCCTGATTTTCATCCATCAACCATCATAAATCTCATTCAAAAAGCGTACAGAGGCCAAAACATGTCACATGACTTCAGCAGAAATAGAGCACAGCTGTGGGATTCTGAAAGTAAAAATCCCATTCATCGCTTTTATGTGTATGTGGATATTTTACAATACACTTCTATTACAATTTTCGTAACATTTTTAATAAATGCACTTTTTACTGCCATTTTTTTGTGTCATTTGCAATGCTTATGCAATTAACTATGCATAAAAGACGTCTAGTACACAATCTCGCAATTTTATATCCTTTTCAAATCAGCATTTCTAATGTTGTGCTTCATACGGGAGCTGAGTGACTGAAGTCTTTTTAATACCCATTGAAAAAAAGCGAATGAGAAAGTTACTTCTGGCACCTGAAGGCCACTGAAAAAAGTGGGTGGATAGCTCTATAAAGAATGTGGCTATGAAGGAAGAAATGAAGAAAACGAATACCTTGTGTAGCCACTTCCATGAAACTCTGTACTGTTGAAACTCTTTATTACGGTTTGCTGGAAAAAAGTGAAAATGTTGGTTTGAATACATTCTTATAAGCCTAGCCGAATCTGATGTGATATCATTCATCAGACCATGCATTTCTAAGCGTGAAAAAGCTCAAAACCCAAATCTGATGTGATAACCTTCATCAGATCATGCATTTCTAAGCGTGAAAAAGCTCTAAACCCAAATCTGATGTGATAACCTTCCTCAGATCATGCATTTCGAAGCGTGAAAAAGCTCAAAACTCAAATCTGATGTGATAACACTCATCAGATCATGCATTTCTAAGTGTGAAAAGGATCAAAACCCAAATCTGATGAGATAACATTCATCAGATCATGCATTTCGAAGCGTGAAAAAGCTCAAAACTCAAATCTGATGTGATAACACTCATCAGATCATGCATTTCTAAGCGTGAAAAAGCTCTAAACCCAAATCTGATGTGATAACATTCATCAGATCATGCGTTTCTAAGCGTGAAAAAGCTCAAACCCCAAATCTGATGAGATAACTTTCATCAGATCATGCATTTCTAAGCGTGAAAAAGCTTTAAACCCAAATCTGATGTGATAACACTCATCAGATCATGCATTTCTAAGTGTGAAAAAGCTTTTGATGTGATAACATTCATCAGATCATGCATTTCTAAGCGTGAAAAAGCTCAAAACCCAAATCTGATGTGATAACATTCATCAGATCATGCATTTCTAAGCGTGAAAAAGCTCAAAACCCAAATCTGATGTGATAACATTCATCAGATCATGCATTTCTAAGTGTGAAAAAGCTCAAAACCTACTTCAATATTCCCGCACGTGCCGAAGGCAGTAAACATAACCATGAACCCCAAGCCCAGGATTATGATGTTCAGCAGGGTCTTTCCTTCTGGACTCATGTTGGCTTACAGTCTTTAGCTCGATGACAACCTGAGACTAGTGAACACACAAAAGTATCACAGTCAAGTGGCACCTGGTTAAAAACACCTGGTTAAACCTGCCCACAACTGGTTTAAAACCTGACCATGCTATTTTTTCTATATGTTTTTTCTATAACAGCTCTGAAGGACGTTCATTTATACCGAAACAGTTATTGTACAGCATGTGTGATGGGAATAAATCATGTTTTTCATTAAATAATGTCTCATATCATATCATATCTCATATCATTTAGGCTGAATGCAACCTACTGCAATGATAACTGTGCTCAGTAAACTTACCGACTACTTGGGTGCGCTGATGTAAACAGCTAATTCATAATGTGAACACCTGTTTCGATATGAGGGGGGAAACAGTGCGTAAAGCTGGTTAACGTAAAGATACATTCGTTTCCGACTTGTCGCTGTCTGTATCTGAAATAAAAAATGTCGGTCATGTGACATCTATCAGCTGGCGGTGACGTCACAGCCAGCCTCCACCAACTGAATTGTGGGTAGTGTAGTTTTTCCGTACGTCAGTACAGGAATTAAAATATTTATTAAAAGCATATAGTTAAACTGTTTAAGTTAGATATCATTTAGAGTATTTCTGAATGTGTCTTGTTTGTGAAGTGTATAGTCAGTAGAGCAAGCACAAACTCTCACATAGTCCTTATTTAGTAATCTATATATTTATAAATAAATAAAAAAAGAGGGTTCAAAAGTCACGTTTCGATGTGTGTAATTTCAAATGATGTTAACCTTACCTAACCCTGTACATTTAAAAACAACTTTAAACTTACTTCAGAAATTTTAAAAAGGGATCAATATAAACTGTATTTTAACTATTCATTAAACTAATCATTAAAAAGCTTTGCATTTATTTTGGCTTTGTACTTATTCAGCTATATTTGAGATACAGAAAGTGTTCCCAGATGAGGCTCTCACTTTTATGTAAAAAATATACTTTTTGGCTTCACTGAATATTATAAAGAGGATTCAAAATGATTTTATTTAATTCGTTTACTCATATATTTTGACCAAATTTCACATGTACAAATTCAAGTTGTTGACTGTTATCTGATAATTTATGCCCCATTGTTCCATTTGCATGATCTTTATTTATTTATGTATAAATACTTGTATAATGTTCAGTATCTGCATTTGAACGAAAGTGCATGTATAATGTTTATTCAATAAAAAAGCTCAATTAGAATTCTATTTTAACCCCCCCACCCCCCAAAAAAAAAGTTTTGTGAATTTAGTATTTTTTCATGTCATTACATTGTTTAGACTAGAGCATAAGAACACATTTTGAATAATAGCACTTATATTGATAAGTGAAAACTGATATTTTATGAATATGCTATGCTATGGCCTCTGTATAGAGGACATCAGGACTCAATTAAAAGTAAATAAATAAAAAGACATGAATAGGCAAAAAACAATTTTTTTTTTAAATCACCAATGCATTTTTATGTTTCAGGATTTTAGATTTCAGGACGAAGTCTGCTAGGGAAGAAGGGCCTGCATCCTAAACCTCTTCATTGGTAAGAACACACAACACCTACCTGAGTTACAATTCACTGGAATAATGTGCAGGAATGTAATTCAGACTTGCAGATGCATTGGTAAAAATTGGACTTGCACAGCAGGTTTTCGTTCTGCTTTGACAATGCTGTGAATGGTGTTGAACTCAATGTGGAATAGTTGCCTCCAAGCTGCTGAATCCAGTATGGCAATGTAAAAGCAGGGCTGTGTGGTGCAGTTTGAGCTGGTAGAGGTGTACGTGATCCAGCTACCTGCTCCTGCTGGGGTTGCTTTGAAGCAGATGGGTGTTTTGGTGGTGCTGAGTTACGTGTACGAGACAATGGCCAGACAGTGCCAGTTTTGCTGCCAGTTGCTTACTTAAAGGATTAGCTCACTCCAGAATAAAAATGTCCTGATCATTTACTCACCACCAAAGATGTTCATGTCGTTTTGTCTTCTGTCAAGTTTTTGGAGGAAAACATTCCAGGAGTTTTCTCTATGTAGTGGACTTCAAAGGGGACCAACGGGTTGAAGGCCCAAATTGCAGTTTCAATGCAGCTTCAAAGGGCTCCACACAATCCCAGCCGAGAAATAAGGGTCTTAAATAACAAAACGATTGAAAACGTCATTTTCTACAAAAAAAATAAAATAAAAATGTTTAACCACAAATGCTCGTCTTGCACTAGCTCAGTGTTCACGACTTCACGCGTTACGTATAGTCACTTTGGAAAGGTCACACGGGATGTAAGCGGAAGTACCAAACCAGTGCGTTTACAAAGCGAACATGCATAGAAAGTCAAATGCCCTTTGCAAAAAAAGGTAAAACATCAATGTCAGACGATTTTGAAGTTGGAGGAGAAATTGAGTTTTTCGCCCTAGCCTACCTTTTTGAACCAGAGTACACAGACGAAGACACCAATCGCAGAGCTAGTGCAAGACGATTATTTGTGGTTAAAATTTATATAAATCAAAAACCTAAATTTTTTTTCGACTGAAGAAAGAAAGACATGAACATCTTGGATGACATGGGGGTGAATAAATGAATTAAATTTTTATTCAGGAGTGAAATAATCCTTTAAAGCTGAAAATGTGAATAAACATAATAATTGCATTATGGCATGAGTAAATTTTATGTCCTAGACATTGTGGCTCACATTTCACAAAAACCCACCAATTCACTATCTCAA